TTTGCACCCCTTCCCCCCTTCCCTTCCCGTCCCCTCTTCCTTTGCGGATAAAACAAAAAACGCTCCCGCCTCTCCCCGTTTTCCCTGCCTCTCCACTTCGCCCTCCAACCCCCACCCCCCCCAAAACTCCCCCCATCCCCCCTGCACGTACGTCAATACATACACATACATACACACGTACGTATGTACGTACATACAGACCATGCAGACAGCCAGTTTGACTCAGACCGCCGGCGGCTCCATGATGAGCGAGGGCGGCTCCATGAGCGGCATCCTGACGGGGGCGGGCGGATCCATCGGCCGCTCGGACAGCCTGGGTGTGAGCCTGTCGGGGGACAGCTTCATGTACACGCAGTCCAGGTCGTCCACGGGCGCCCTGGTCACCGGGCTCACGGAGAAGCTCAACCAGAAGAGAATCCGCTCGTCCATGGACTTCCATAATGTAGGTATAAATAAAAGTAGCATAATAGCAGGTCTAGGACTAGGAGTGTGTGGAAGAGAGGGAGGTGTAGGGGGGGGGCGTTTGGGGAAGCGATTTGTGTTTTTTTATTTTTGCTTCCAGGGTTTTTGGGGCGGGAATTTCGATTTTTGAAGAGGGGTTTTTTGAAAAACGGTGACAGTTGATCGTGTTTTTTTTGCATTTCTCGCGTATGCTTTTCCATTCCTTTTGTTTGATATTTCAGTTCGACCCCCCCCCCTCGGATCTGAACTTCTCTTTTGCTCTCTCCCACCACCACCGCGATTAATTCCCCTCCACCGCGCCCTCTGCCCTGTGCCGTGTGTGTCCCTCTGTTTAGAACACTACCATGACGGACCTGCAGATCACGGGGCTGCTGGGTGAGGGCGGGTTTGCGAAGGTGTTTCGGGGCCTGTGGCGGGGGCTGGTGGTGGGCGTCAAGGTGGTGTGTGACGACGGCAAAAACGAGAAGATGGTGATGAAGAATGCGCACGAGATTGCCATTCTGTCGGCGCTGTCGCATCCCAACATTGTGCAGGTGAGAGGGGGGAGGGCGGGGGGCAGGTGAGAGGGGGGAGGGCGGGGGGCAGGTGAGAGGGGCGAGGAAGGGGGGGGAGGAAGTTGATGTGTTCTTTTGCATCTTGTGGTTTATGACTTCCTACACACCTCAACCCAACCCAGCTCAACGCAGCCCACGGCCCCTACGTTGACCTTTTGGACGTAAGCATCTCCCGGCGCTATTTGGCTTTCCCCCACCCCCTCCCACCCCCTCCCACGCCATCCCCGCACACCTGCCGCTTTTCTCCCTCCTCCCCCCCCCCCCTTGCCCTGGCAGCACCTTCACTCGTTCGTGTTTACCCCCTCCCCCCCTTGCCTCCCACCCCCCGCCGTTCCCCCCTCCCTCCCCTAAGGCCTACAACTGCCTCACGGACGTGCTGGTTCGCGACCTCCTGAACACCACCGTACACCGGTACAACATCCCCTCGGTGCTCAACTCCCCCGCCTACAAGTACCTGCTGACCATGGAGGATAAGACGTGTCACCTAGAGGTGCGTGTGCGTGTGTGTATGTGCATGTGCATGTGTATGTGCATGTGTACGGAGTAAGGGGGGGAGATATGGGGGACGTGCGGGGGAAAGGATCACGCAGTCATATCCCCCCCTCTC